GCTGTTAGTAATAAGCGTGCATCCTTGACCAAGGTTTCTTAATAAGTGTTTTTTCAATACCCGCCGGATTGTTCACTACTAACCTCCAGAAATTACAATGTTGGCATAAAGGTCCTTTCGGATATCAATATCACAGTGCATAATCGAATAGTGTAGTGTCTCATGGATACCACGATCTTCCTTGTCTAATAAATAGGGTGTGAAGAGAACCTCAGGACAACGGAAACGTTCCTCGCCGATCGTGATCAACTGAAAATAGGATTCGTTTTCTGCATCGAAGTAACTTATGAAAGTGCCAAGGAAACTATAGAAGAATGGAAGGTGATAACGCCGTTAGCCCGTCAAAGTGATCAACTTTTATCTTCCGAAACATTTGACGTTCTATGTGTGCATTGCTGTCAGACACCCCATTCTGCTCTGATGCATCCAGTATTTGAGTGAGTGAAGTAAAGTACCTTTCCGTCGGGCATTTCGTAACTCTTGTCAAGTGCGGATGATGTCTGCGCGGTTTTCAATTCTTGTTCAAAGTCCAGTGCTACGTAGCACAGTTTCTCTTTCATATCACGCACGATCTCACGTTGAGCTGAAATTTCATTTCGTTCACTATTAATCGTCACAACATTAGTATAATCATTGATATTGTTACAATGATTGTCATTGCTATGACTATTTATCATGATCATGAACATGTAAAAGCTGAACTTCTTCAGCATCAGATGCCTTCATTCGACTTAATACACCCTTGAAAACACGACAAGATCTGTCGTGAAAATCAGGCAATCATTTCTATGAAGCGACTGTCGTTCCTCAGAGCTCATTGCGCTATATGATTTTCACAGATTTACTTGATATCAGTAATGAAACTTTTTAATGAACTAACCGGTGGTCGTGAATGGGTATCCACGCTCCGCGAGCATATCCACCAAGTAATCAGTAAGGTCACGTCCAGCCAGATCATGTCGTTGAATGGCGTGCGGGAAGGCGTATCCTGAAATCGAGTAGCATTTTCGAGAGGACAAAGTGACACCTTTCCTACGACAACAATGATTG